GTTAACCATTACTTTACCACTTACCCTCTCTACGCCTAACTACTAACTTACATTACGCAAGTACTACGTACGTAAGGTTAGTTGTGGTATAGTAAGGTATTATATATTTAGTTAGATTTCGAGGTATATACCTTATATACACAACACCCTTCGAGATATCTGCATAGAGTTGAATGGCAGAGAGGTATGGAATATGATACTAAACAACTGGCTCATAACCATTTACAACCAAAAGTACACCGGCACCAAATGCGCTCCAATCCTTGAAAGACTCCCTTGGATACAACTGGCTCACAACCATTTAAAACCAAAAGTACACCCATACCATATGTGCTCTATTTTGTGAATGACTCCCTTGGATACAATTGGCTCACAACTATTTAAAATCAAAGGTACACCCACACTATATACACTCCATAATTTAAAAAAGTGTGTTCTCCAACCCTTGCTACTCATCTTAAAAAGATGCTGAGCTGGAACACAAGTCGTTGTGGACTCCGAGGAACGATCCAAGTTACCAAGTTAAAGAGTCTCCACAAGTGGCTTTAGAGAATCGCCTAAGTCCGACCATTGTTCAGTAGAAAACTTCGAACTCTCTAGATTCCGGTCGCATTTCAACTGTTGCTGTTATCTTATAGTCGGAGAGTTATAGAATTTGGTTGTTCTAAAAGTTTGGAGAAAGAGAGAGTCACTAAATTAGTGTTCACGAAAAAGACCAATGCTAACTTTGGCCTCTGATAAATATCCAGATCTCCAATAGAAGGAGATAAATGATCAGAGAAGAAAAAGTGACACTGATTATTCGAGAATCCGATAATTATCTCAGCGAAAAGAAGATATTTGGGGAGAAATGGAGATGATACGAGAGAGGCAGAAAGAGAAAGATGGTTATAAAAAGTGGAAATGAGGGTTTTTTTTTTCTTCTTTAAAGCGGAAAGAAGTTCCAGGTTACTGAAATTTATACATATTGATGTATGTGATCCGAGAGGTATACAGTCTCATGGTGGGAAAAAATACCATGCCATTTTCATGGATGATTTCTCAAGATATACTTATGCCTACTTGATTAGGAACAAAGATGAAATATTTGAGAAATTCAAGGTTTACAAAAACTGAAGTTAAAAACCAACTAAATTCTAAAATTAAGGTTTTTATTAGTGACAGCGGTGGTGAATATTGTTCCGCCAATTACACTCACTATTATGAAGAAAAATGATATTATTCACTAGGTTACTGCCCCACGCGCACCATTACAGAGTGGTTTTGCTGAAAGAAAAAACCGCACTTGTAGACACCCCCCTTAAAATTCTGGTTAAGAGAACTACTGAAAACCTCGATTCTGAGTCCCAAGGATCTCACAAACTTTAATAGACTATAGATAGCCTAGAGTCATTAGAATTGTCCTAAAATTGCTTAAAACCTCTCCAAAGTTTAAGCGTACCCTGAGAGCCTTCCAACCGTCCAATAACCACCCAAATTGGGTTAAACACCTAAAACGGACCTCGAGGCGACATAAAAAAGAACTTCTTAAGATTTTTCATTTATTTCCAAAAATCTTTAGAAATTCTTATCTTTCCAAGTCAGAATGGTGTTAGAAAGAAATATTAAGTGCATCAGTCCAAGTAAATTAGAAGAACCTCAACTATTTGAACTTCAAAGGGTAGGTAAGTGGAAGAACAAAATTGGAAGCCTAAGGAGATTCTGAGCGTTCAAGGGCAGTATCCCACATTATCCAAGAAGTGGAAGAACAAAATTGGAAGTTCGAGGAGATTCTGAGCACTCAAGGGCAGTATCCCACATTATCTAAGACATTGGTTTGCTCATAAACTTCAATAAAAATTCTCCCTTGATTTGAAACATAAGAGACAAGATTGGAAGATGACGTAGTACTTGGTGATTCCTCGTCCTAAAAATCCAAAGTAGAGGCTTGGCAAACTCATGTTAAAAAAAAAAAAAAAAAAAAGAAAAAGAAAGAGAGCTCCATGGTAGCATGAGGCTAAACTGCTTACTAAACTTATTTATCAAGAAATCCCCATCTGTCTACAAAAATTCCCCTAGGTTTTTTGTTCAATTTTTACAAATCTTAATTTCTTAGGTTAAACTTGTTGTTCGAAACTCTGTTTCTTTATCAAAATTCTATCTATCTTCAAAACCATATAAAATATATTAAAATACAAAGGTGTTTCATGGTGGCTTGGATATGATGTGTCCACCGCCACCAATTCCTGGATTGCCCGGCTTGCAAACCTTTAGGAAAAATTAAAAACCAACCTATAGGTTTCCAAACCAAAAAGCCTGAACATATGGGCCCCAAGAATCAGAATCTAAGGCGAACAAAAGTTCAATTAGCCAGGAATTCATCATCCCATTATTTCTTCGAAATCTGACTCCTTGAAGAACCAGACCTAAAGAAAAAGGTCTAAAGTCGAAGATGACTATACATGCAACATCCCAAGTAGCATGGGAGAGGCCGTGTCGCAGCCCGTCGTGTCCAAAAGTGGTCTGATGATGCAGTAAACATGTTTTTTAATTAGATAAAGACAAAAACTCCAGATAAACCTTGAAAGATCCAAAAAAAAAAATACAAAAAAGTCAAGAAAAATCACCACTTTAAGCCAATAAATACCCCTTTCCA